CACAAAACTGAAAACCAAACGAGAACCCACCGGAACACACGTTGCGTGTTGGGCCACGCAGCGCTCACACTTGGAGCTTTCCAAGCTCCACACACACGAGACGGCGGGATCTCCGTCCTTCTTGCGCCCTTTGGCGCGCACGCAGCGCATACACTGCTGGCGGAAAGCCACAGTGAGGGCGCCGGGAGGAGGGGGAACCGGCATCTTCAAATTGGAAATCTGCGATTTCCCGTCAGCCCAACCCAAGTTATCACCACCGCGCCAGCGCGGTTCCGTCACCTACCAAATCGTTCGTTGTGTTTTTGTATCTAAAAACAACCTGTTAGCATCCAGCTGTACCATCGGAAGGGCCACTTACCAGTCTCGGGAGGGGGGCTCAGCATCGTTGTTGTGAAGAAAACAACAAGTTCTGGGCGAAGCTCGAATTCATATTCTGGCTTATAACAAAGCCGTCCGAATCGGGTTAGCGCGAAATTTCCCCCTCGACACATACCGCGCGGACCCTATTCGATACCAATACGGACCCTCGCAACACTAATCGCCGCGCACACAACAAAGACGCGACTTTGCGCAAACGGATTCAGACCACTTCCAGTGCCTATACGGCCGCCCACCATCAGCCTTCTGGACAAACAAAGGGCATTCTAGTCTTGGCGCCCGCACCTCACCCACCAACCCAAACAAGGGCTCGTCGCGGCAGCTACTCGGCTTGCGTGCTTTGAGGACAAAGCACCTTCTCAAGGCGGGGGGTAGTGTAAGGATGCCTCCTTACTCGGGGTAGTTACGGCCGTCACGTGGCGCCATCGAGACTCGGGGCCGTTACGGGTCAGTCGCGACTGACAGCCTTAGGCACATAACGTAAGGAAGCCTTAGGCAAACAGGGAGCTAGCTGAGTCGGAGCGGTTTCGGGTATTTTAAGGGAACAGCCATACAGGGTGACACCTTCATCTTTTTTGTATCCTTCGTAGTAGACCTATAGGATTGCACCGACTCATATCCGACTCGCACTCCCATATGCCACTTCTCGTGATACGGTGCCCTGCGTCCTTACACAAATGAAGTGCTAAGCAAGCGCCGGAGAGCTAAAAAAACACGACTACAGCAAGGAGGATCACTTAGTCAACAGGTAGCACAGGAGCTACAGGACGAGAGGGACATTGTGCAGCAAGTAGAGCAAGAAATAAGGGCAAGTAGTGGTTGGAAGCCAAGGGAAGAAACCCATGCACGTCGCTGTGGCAAGTGTGGTGAGACTGGACACAATGCGCGCACTTGTCAGATTGTAATAGACAGGTCTGAGGAAGAGGACTCCGAGTAGTTTTAATTAATTTAAATTGTTGTGGTGGATTTATCGCAATTCTTATGGGGTAGTCGCGATATTTTGGCACTTTCGCTTGTTTGGCACTTTCGTTATACATGCACGTTATTGCAATATTACACTACTAGGAACACTAGTAAGCTTTTCCGTGCCTAAGCCTTTGCCTCCCTTGAAATGTGTAGAGAGCAACAATATCAAGCTCTGTCTTATACAATTCTGCTTAGTGTAAAAACTATTGTAGTCCTACGTGTACTAAAGTTAACTTACCTGCTTTACTCCGACTAGTACAATTACATCTATAGACTGATAGCATCTAATTATATAACCTGTCTCATCAAAGTTCTAGAGATTGCATGGCTTGATATTATATGTTGTAAGAATCGCATTATACTTCATAAAGAAGTCCTTGAAATTTGACTGATTCTATGCTTGCTTTCGCTAAGTATTTAATGCCTTCGTACGAATAGAGTGGAGTTTAGGGTGGGCTTTAAGGAACTGTTGAAGCCAGCGTCGAGAGGGCAGCTCTTTGCCCGGTCGCAAGTCTGCGACAGCTTGTAGCAGCGTACTCCGATTTGCAGGAATACGTTAACCAGCCGACATCAGGCAGAAATCACACTCAATACTTTGATTTATTATCTTACTGCAGAGTGCTTTGTTTTAATTAAACAGTCGTACAACACAACGCTTGTAATAATTTTAACCAATTAAGATTAAAAATAATATGCAAATCGTGGTGAGGTTTTTCGTGGATTATCGAATTAAATAACATACTTCACTAACGTACATGTATAGCGAAAGCGCCAAACAAGCGAAAGCGCCAAAATTATCTACCCTCATGACAAACATTGCGATAAATCTACCACAACATTAGAAATCAATTGAAACTACTCGGAGTCCTCTTCCTCAGAGGTGTCTATTACAATCTGACACGTGCGCGCATTGTGCCCAGTCTCACCACACTTGCCACAGCGACGGGCACGGGTTTCTTCCCTTGGCTTCCGACCACGGCTTGCCCTTATTTCCTGCTCTACCTGCTGCACAACATCCCTCTCATCCTGTAGCTCTTGCGCCCCTTGTTGACTAAGTGATCCTCCTTGCTGTAGTCGTGTTTTCCTAGCTCTCCGGCGCTTGCTTAGTACTTCATTTGCCTGTCGTAGGTTTTGGTTCTCTCCCTTTAGCAGTGCTAATTGATGCATTATTTGCGATGCACCCTTTGTAAACTGGTCAACAGCTGCATAGATTGAGGTTGGAGAGCTATTTTGATGGCGTGAAATCCGAGTTTTAATAAATGTAGACTGTGACATAGCTTCAATTGGGTTGTTTGGTGTCTGAGAAACCCAAGGTTGAGCAGTACCTGGGCGGGAGCTTGGAGGCGTTGGTGTCCTTAACTTAAGATCAAGTGTAGATATCACTCTCTCAGGGTCAAATGGAAGAAGCCCTGCCCCTCGGAACCCGCCTCGAATGTTACTTTCCGTCATTGTAGTGTTAAATGCAGCGTGGAAGGCAGGAAAGAAGTCATCCTTTGTAATATGAGAAATATGAGCCTGCATCATATCTTCAATTTGCCGACCATAGGCCTGCTTTAACGGGCCGAAACAGCCAACATCAAGTGGCTGGAGTAGATGAGAAGAGTGAGCAGGCATACAAAGCGTAATAATGTTGTGTTCCTTGCAGTACTCCTCAAACTCATCTGAGTGGTGGCTCTCATGACCATCAAGGACTAACAAGCGATAACCACCAACACTCCGGGCCTTTGTATGCTTCTCAAAGTGCTGAATCCAATCCATGCCTCTCTCGTTTGTAGTCCAGCCATTTTCAGTAACAGAAATCACCCAATCGCTTGAAAATCCACTATTCTCATACCAAGATGTAAGGTGGTTTTTGCCTGCAACAATGATAAATGGTGGTACTGCCCAACCTTGAGAACTAACGCCTTGGATTACTGTAACCCATTCCCGATTACCAGGCTGTACCTTCTTTGCTTTTGCCCGCCCGTCTGAGCTTGTTACAACCATAGCAGTTGAGATAACGCCCATCATAAACCCAGTCTCATCAAAGTTGTAGATATCTGCTTCATCGATACCATATTTCGCAATTGTGTTACGCACAAGCTCAAACCAGCCATTAATAACTTCTGGATCTTCGCACTTAGCCCTCTGGTAGTCGTATTTGCGCTGAAAGCGTGTCTGGAGCTCTACACGCCGCTTAACAAAGTTTGAAGCCCAACGCGACCCAACGCGTGACGCGTCGCGTGTTGCAAGTAGTCGACTTGCCATATCTTCAACAACAGACAGCCGAGGAGGAAACCCTTTGGCAGCTAGGTCGAGTATATACTGAACAAGGACGGACTCCTCTAGGTTAGTTAATTTCCGTGAGTTGGCTTGGATATCGCGTCGTGAAGGTACACCTTCTAGACGACGACCTAGCTTGCGGTGGTCCACAGAATAGATCCTAGCAGCAACTCGAAGGCGTAACTTTGGGTCGCTTTGCATAGCCTGGATAGCTAGCACTAATTGGCTTTCATCGTTTTTATGGGGCATGTTTTGTTGTTGAGGAATTTAACATTTAGTTGGGGGGTTTGGTCACCGCATCATTTTGGCGCTTTCGCTTGTTTGGCGCTTTCGCTATACATGTACGTTACTGATTTCAGAAACGGCCTAATGATTTCAGTTTCTGCGTTGCCGCATTACTCTTAAGGTGAAATGCTTACACTTTCATTTATATGCTAAATTAATCTAGCATATGGCATTTAGAATTCTCTGCCTGGACTATTAGGGTATCTAATCCTGTCTGCGCTCGAGTTGGTCATGTATAAATTGGCAAATTGCAGCATCTTGTGCAGGAGTCAATACTCGGTTTTGTCCTCCATATGGCTTGTGCGTCATAGATGTCGGCTTCGATATGTGTCGTCGTAGAGTTTCGTACTTGATGTCGAATTTTGTAGCGACCCAGGAGATTGTATGGGCTTGTGGAGGCTTTAGAAAGAACTGCACAGCTTCTGCAATGCGAGATTTATATTCAGAATCATGGGTTGGAGGCATATTGGTAGTATTGAAGTGGTTGTCATGAGGCGACGTGGCATACTCAAACTCGCTTTCGCATACCCAACTCGCTTTCGCCACCTACTCGCTTCGCTCGTAGGTGGACAAACCACCGAGTAGCTTAGTCAATTTATGACAGTTGGCCCTAGATTCGCGTCGAGTTGTTCGGCCAGCCATTCTATCACGAAGGGTAGATTTGGGGACATTGTAGGTCTTTGCAGCAGAGCGACAACTTATTTTTTTAGATGAGCGAATAGCCTCGATAGCTAGAATGATTCGTGCTTCTTGCGTTTGAATTTCCATTGGGGATGGTTGAGAAAGCGCGTGTTAAAGTTTATGGGGAGTGGGGAGGTTGTACACCGAGTCGCGCACTGCCCCCACGTTATAAACAGTTCCACGTTTTAACCCGACCGGCGGTGGAAGTTCCAATTGCTAAATTACTTCCTTTGGTAGCCATCAACCTGGCCGATAATCACTGGAAGATTCAAGGTTCTTGAACCATTCCGAGTCACCCAATCTGATGCTGAAGAGCAAGTGTAAAATGGTCATGTATGTGTGTGAGGGTAGTGTGTGAGGGGAAGTTGGGTGAAGTGGAGTTTGGTCGTTCGTATATATCGTGAGTTAAGAGTGTCTAGTGTGAAGACTTATGATGCGGACTGCCTGCGGTGATTGCGGGATTGATCGAATGAGCTGGCGTAGCCGCGAAGTTCGCGACGGGCTTTGTCAGAGAGTTGGACTTGCTCGGAGGAGGTCGACGAGGAGCTCTGCGCCGAGAAGAGAGAAGATTGGGACGACGAGGGGGTCAAGACTGGCCTGGTGTAGATGGGCTGAGTTTGAGGTCTTGGGTGAGACGACGAGGTCGACGGCCTCTTGGTGACGTCGTAGCCTGATGGGCCGTAGAAGTTGTTGCTTGGTTTTGAAGGCCATGAGATCGAAGCCTGATGGGAGGGAGGCGAGCTGGCCTCTGAGCCTGTGTTGGCTCCCCCGTACTCGGCCAGACGACAGTCCTCTCCGCAGTAGGCATTGCCCCCAGTCTGCCTATCACAGGCAAGGCAGAAGGGTGGCGACCAATCCATATCTTGAGACATCATGTACGGAGTACGAGGTTATTGATTGGAAGGTAGCCGAGGAGGTCAGTGAGAGAAGGGAAGGTCAGGCTGGGCTTGGGATATCGAAGGTATAAAACGAACGATTGATTGCTTTCCCTCAGCTTTTAGAGATCGGATTCGAGTAGTCTAAAATCCGCAATGAAGTTTGCTTGATTGCTTGGTTGCTTGGGCGAAAATCCCTCAAATGCGATTATTGTGGCCTGGACGGGAGAACTTCTGTTGACGACAGTGTCGTCGCCGAAGCTCTTGCCCCTGCTCGTTCCGACTTTCCCTCTAGTTTGCTTTATCAATTGGGGTCTACAGACGCTGGTTTGTGTCAGCTCTTTGATATCTCCTCATAATGACCAAGATCTAGGCTTGCGCGATATTTTGGTACCCGTTTGGATGCCGTGTGGATGCTGCGTGGATGAGCGATTTCCCCAAGACGAGACTTGCATCTTCCCCATCCAATGCTTTTCCTCCTTGTGCTGTCCTGAAGAGCCACTTATCGATAAAGCTCGCAGATTCTTATTCACGCATACGACTTCTACCACGGCCATTTTTCTGCTTTCAACATCTCCACACACACAGTCCTGAACAGATGCAATGCGCTGAAGCGTATTTCAGCGTCAACAGTGCCTGATACACTGCAATGGAACGCCCTGGCTCCCACCGAAGCCTCAGCGAGGTGCGGTCGTATGAGGCAGAGGAGATATCGCTAGGAGATGAAGAGGCAATGCTAACATTGGTGAGTGGATTTACATAGGGTTCAAAGATACAGTGATGCTGACACGGACGCCTTACTAGATGACCTGTATACGTTGGAGCAGCTGAAGGACCCGCGGATGAATATACGCATTGTAAGGCCGCTAGTTGATCCGTTGTATGATCCAGACGACATTCGACGTACAATGCGATAGTGGCTAGATCAGGCCAAAAAAAGCCTCAGCTAAATATTTGGAGGTATTATGTGCTCTCTACATAAGGTTAGTAGCCGACCCTGCAAAAGCGGCAAATGGTTTTGGGGATTATCGCTCATCCACAGAGAAAATATCGCGCATTCAGCACCTTCGCGATCTTCACTTGCTCCTCATCATAGGATTATAGCATCGTAATCCTTCCTAACCGCTCACATGCTATGTATTTACTAAGGCTACCCCTCTCATGCTCTCAGGTTTGCATTTATATCTATCTCTCTTGTGTATGGGGAAAATGACGACCTTTCGCTGATTGCATACACCCTCCTCTTACAACCTTCACCAACCCACTTTACTCTGCATTTTCTCCTCCTTCTTGTTCATTCTCCCTGATTATCTTTTATTTCCCTCTTATCTTCACGTCCTGAACTCATATGGCTCAATTGCCCTTTAACGCTGCCTCAGCTACTTCTAATCCGCCCAAAGTCCAACCTTCTGTCGCCCTCCAAGTCACTCCAGGTAATATATGCCTCACTGGGAATGCCTCTGTCCATTTAATCTAATAACGGAAGTGTATTGCTCCTCATCAGACCGTCTCTCCAAATCCACAGCCCAAATAACTGCCGCCTACCGCAACCGCTACGCCTCCTACCTCGCGGCCACTTTCAACATCAGCCTTGAAGCCGCCCAGTTGGAAACAGATTACCAGCTCGCACCTCGGCGAGCCTCCGAGTTTTCGGAGGCAGAGGCCCATCGAAGCTGATTTCCAAAGAGAGCTGCCACACAAAGGGATGATGCCTGAGCTGCTGTTGGGATTCGTTATGTTGATCGCTGTGTTTGCGTTTGCAGATTTGTATTTAGGGAATCAAAGGACAAGGAAGGTTGTTGGGGCGGAGTGGGAAGGCATCTGAGAGATGTAATATTGATTTTGGCTGTGCTCTTGGTTTCAAGTTCTTGAGTTGGTAAATTTGGCACTCTTTTCTAGGGCTCAGCTCTTCCAACGCCTCAAATCTACAGTAGCGTTCCCCTCTTACGGAATGGACATTTTCCCTTTAAAATAGCTTCGATCTTGAATTGGATTCATCTTCTATATTTCCGTAGCACCCGGCTCTGGCTTTGGTCTCCCTTTGCGTCACTTGAATTCCAGTTTAGGCTCCAACCAAGCCAAACTGGTTACGCCTGGCGTAATCTTTCACTCAAGGCAGCCTCGCACAGTTCTATCTCGCCAGATTATTCAACTTTAACACCCGCAAAGTTGTAAGCCTATTCTCAGGACAGGGATCCAGTAATGAATGTATGACCCATCGACAAAATTGAAAGCAGTTAACCCCTGTACCACTGAAGGCCGTTGAAGGACTCAGATTACCCAAGTTCCAAAGACCTGTGTGTTCCAGTAAATACCGTTTATAACACTCAACTGCGCCCTCAGCAACAAAATCCCAAAGCAGCTTGCCTTTCTCATATGGCACCGATCGCCCACATATCAACGTCCCTGGAATCGATTATGCGTCGACAAATACCTTGAACGCAATGCACTGGACACACCTACTCCTCTTGCTGCTCCTCTTCACTCAACCTTGCCTTCTGCAGCTTTCCTAAAGCATTTTGCGAGACTAAAATTCCCAATCTTTAGTAATCACTGACTATTAATAGGAGATTGTCAGACCTGAGATCTCGATGTACTATCCCGACGCAGTGAAGTCATGCTATGCCGCGAACGAGCTGCTTGAAGTAGCAATCTGCCTCTACTGCTCCCAATTTCCTGGCTTGAAGTATCACGGTCCTGAGATGAACGCCGTATATTTGGGTGAGATAGGGATAACGAGGTGGTAGGGATGAGGTGGTGGAGGAGCCTGAACGTCTTCAGGGGACAAGTGCTGTTTCTCGTGTGTTGGATTTGTGTCTCTTCTAGGCATAATTTCCCAGATAAGCGCCTATACCGTTTTAAAATGCTCGCAATCTCGGCAATTAGACAGTAAAATCCCTCATAGCGATGCTAATTTTTGAGTGGTTTTGTGAACATTATCGCTGCACGCGCCAAGAAATGAGCATTTGAGGGATTTTTTACACTTCACGTCCATGATTGCTATTATCTCCATCTACATTTGACACATGACAATTGAGAGATAGCGTCCGTTGACAGGTTCGAAGGAGGACGGGACGAAATTTTGAAAGTACTTCGATTGTCGTGTGTTTCTCTCTGATACCGTAGAGCTATCAAATGCCACTTGAAGCGGATGCCATGAAGTGAGCTTCAGTTCTGCTTTTGTGTCTGTGGCTATTACTTCTCCAAGAAACTGGTATTATGTATAGGCTTTTTTTGGTCAAAGATTTTGTAAACCAAACTATGGCGCAAGATGGGATTGCGACGTCCGAGGCTCTGAAGTACTTTCTTAATGGAGGACTTTCAATCGCTCTGGTACTGTTGGGAGGGTTATTTGCTGGCTTGACGCTGGCGTAAGTATTTTACCTTAACAGTCTGAATCACCTCTAATCCACTGCCAGATTCATGAGTCAAGATAAAGTCTATCTCCAAGCCATTGCGAAATCTGGAACCGGAAAGGAGAGACATAATGCTCAGAAAGTCTTGGACATCCTTCAACGTGGAAGACATTGGGTTTTGGTTTCTCTTTTGTTAGGAAATGTCATCGCGAATGAAACTTTACCAATTGTCCTGGATCGTGACATAAAGGGTGGATTGTTTGCTGTTCTAGCTTCCTCAGTACTGATTATGATTTTTGGAGAGATCAGCCCCCAGAGTATATGTGCCAAGTACGGATTAACTATTGGAGCCTGTTCATCGAGGTAGGTCCATTCATTCTTCATCCTAGGAGCCTTCTGACTGGTATGCAGATATGTGCTATGGGTGATGTATGGACTATTTCCAGTGGCATATCCCATTGCCGAACTCCTGGATCGCCTGCTAGGAGCAAACCATGGTCTTGTCTTCAACAGAGCTGGGCTAAAGACACTAGTCATGCTCCACGAAGGCCTGAATTTGTCACCAGATGAACGTCTGAACCGAGAAGACGTAACCGTCATCTCTTCAGTCCTCGATTTGAAAGAGGTGCCGATTTCATCAATCATGACTTCGCTGCCGAAGCTCTTTAGTCTGAGCATCGACACCTACCTCAACGACATGACACGGTATAATATTCTTAAATCCGGATATAGTTCTGTCCCCATTCATATACAGGGTCAACCAACAAGTTTTGTGGGGGTTTTGCCAATAAAGTCTCTTGTCGCGCTCAACTTTGAGGAGGAAGTGACTGTCGGACAGCTGTCTCTCGACACTCTTCCCGTGGTCAGATGTGATGCCAGCTGTCAGGAACTCTTTCAAGTTTTTCGGGATCGGAAGGTCCATCTGGTGTTGGTATCGGAGACGGGGACCAACCATGGTAAGCCGCTGGGCATCGTGAGTGCTAGGGACGTAATGAGCGAGCTGATAGGGGGCTCCATTGGATACAAGGAAGCCGAGTGCAATTTGACATGAGGCTTATCCCATCAAGCGGGTTGGGGGGTTTAGTTGGCACATTTCACAGGCGTTGCATTTGTATGGCCGAGTTCGGTTTATTGATGGGCAGCGTTGGTGTTCTTATTTTGCATTTTAGCACAGGCGGATGGAACCGCAACGTTATAGCTGTTATTTTCGTGGTCACTGTTGTTGTCTTTGCTGCCATTCTATACGAAAGATAGAGATGTTTCACTGTTGCCTCCCTTCCCCTCTCTCCTCCTCTCTTAAAGTTGACGGAAATCACTTTCATGTAGCACAGAATTGCACGACAAAACTCTCATTGTGTCGCCTTCCGGCGCGCTAAGTCTGCATTAGCTGTGTTGAGGATTGCGCGTATGGTACGGCAGGCTACAGCCAATTTGTATGGTGTAGTACGGTGCACTAAGTGATAAATAACCCCCTAGTGGTGCGGAAGCCAGTATCACCATAGTGCAGTAATCAATTCAATTGCTTTTCTATTCTAATGTAAATACGCTGGAGGAGCCTTCCATAACCCCCGAAACCCCCGAAACCCCCGAAACCCCCCAGTAACACATCGATTTTGGTGCGGAGTTTTCACCTTCTGCCCCGCTAAGGACCATGGGAACACTGGCTCCTACGGTGGAGATTACCAGATTTCCAGGGCCAAAATCACGGCGTTCCTCCGACTCCCGGCCCGTTTCCCAACAAGCTGCGCTTTTGGTGGGCTGCTGCCTGAGGATTCACTTCGTTCTTCATCCTTTTTTATCGGCGTCGAAATATATCGCAAATCAAGGGTTTATTACGTAGAAGCTATGGACAGCCCCATTGCTGCTAATGTCCTCGGGACACTCGGTTCAGTCTGCTTTCCATGCTATTCATTCACCAGCACTACGGCTAACACACAAAGTTAGGTTTGTTGGTCTATCCAGCTCATTCCTCAAATAATTATCAATTACCGCCGACACTCGACGGAAGGTTTGCAGCGTTCGATGATGCTTCTTTGGGCCATTGCTGGTGTTCCGCTTGGTGTCTTCAACATTACAAGCAATTTCAATATTGCGCTTCTTATACAGCCGCAAATCCTAACACTTCTGAGCTTGATTACTTGGACTCAGTGTTTCTATTATGGTGATGTAAGCTATTATTGTTATGATTATTATTCAATTGCCTAATACCCGTCGTTGTTGCACAGATTTGCAATAGCTAGAGCGAGCGAGAAAGGCGCTGATCAAAGGAATGAGCCATAAGAGAATCCTGCTGATTGAAGTAGAAACTATCCAAGGGAAAATGTACTGCACTTGTGTCTGGGATGGCAGTATTGTTTGGAGGCGTTGAGACTGGTTTAGTCTTCGCGCTGCGGGTAAGTAATCAACTGCGGATATCTAAGAGAGTACCACGTACTCATTTGACCAAATAGGCTGGGATCAATCAAGGAACTCATTGGCCAGTAATCTTAATGGGTGTTCTATCAACTGTCTTGCTCTCTGCTGGCGTATTAAGGCATTACTACGATATTTGGGTACATCGTACCGTTCGCGGAATTAGCTTCATCTTTGTTGGTATTGACGCCGCAGGCGACGTCTTTTCCCTTATTTCTGTTTGTAGGTGATCCCAACCTAGTTTCCGACGATGGCTCACCTATTAGTTTTCCAACCCGAACTCGACATCCTCGGAATGGTGATCTACGCAACAGAATTCGTGCTATGGTGTGGTGTATTTGCATGTGGTGGTTATTTCAACCTGATGCCTTGGTTGAGGCAGAAGGCTAGCCAGAGATCAACACGTCGACGGCAAGAAGCTGATCTCGCAGCTATGGAGCGAGTGGGTCAGGGGGCCGGTGAGTCAAATGATATTAACTTGCAAGGGATTCCCTCGTCCACTTCGGTGTTCCGAACTCCATCATCGTTACTATCAGCAAGAAGCTCTGTCCACTCATTGGAACGAACACCATAGATGCAACATAGAATTATGCTCTACTCATGTGTTTTATAGACTTGATTATTCTTATGCTGCTCTAACTGTCCGTGATTTAACCTGGAGTGCCTTTCGACAAGATCTCTGGAGCCCATTGGAAGGCTAAATCTCCGCTGTCAATGCGGATACCATCGGTTCAATAATCCTATGTTCGATCTCAGGAGCTGTAAGGGCCTCAAGAGGAAAGTGAAACTCTAGTCGTGTCATCTAGTGTTTCGAGAAGAATCTCAAGCTGAATTTCAGAGAGTCTCGAAGAAGGGAAGTGAACGAGTCTCTCTCACTTTCAAATCTTTAAAGGTGATCAAATTATCGTGTAAGTGCTTAAAAGATCTTCAAGCATAAATTAAGTTATGCAAACTCTTTTAACCCTAAGTTAACCCCCATAGCAAGGGGCTAGAACATGACTTGACAGCAAAGTTTAACATCTTATACAAATATTGCCTTGCATCAATTCACAAAATCAAGTTCTAGCATCCAGACTAGAGGAGGCTTAAATGCCTCAGTTTTGACCTTGTGTAACGGGTGCTGACCGTTATATAGCGTGTTACGCGTATTCCGCTAAGCCGGAATACTACAGTATTATCTCGTTAAGTCAATACACGTGTGAGAATCATATCACTCGATGTTCAAGACAGGTAAGCAGCATGGAGTTCAACAGGGAATCGTATTCCATTCGTAGGTAGCTATTCAAACTAGCCGCTGGCTTTCTATTGAAGCCAGCTCGCCCCTACTTATACTCTTGCGTGTGCCCTCAACTAACTAGGGCGAAAGGGGGAAGAAGCTCGGCGATCCCCCTTTTACTCGGCCATGGCGATGGCTCCTGGATTGCCACGTGATGTGACAACACGATTAGTCGATTTTCTAGCTAACTCGATAACTTTCTTCAGATCCTTCCATTCGTCATACAAATCACGAGTCCCTTTTCCTAATTATCAACTTAAACTAATTACTAGACTACTCTTAGAATACCTTCAAAATGCCTTCTAAAAAGCTCTATTCTATGACTCTCGAACAGCGAAAAGCCCTCTGAACCTAGAATCGATCTCACCATCCAAAACCTACACAAAAGACCACTATACAGTGGTTCCTCGAGCAATACAATCGTCAATTTAGCCAATCTACAGTCTTAGAATCCCTTAGCTCTCGATTTTTGGACCTTGACGATACTACTAATACTCTAGAAACAAACAGCTCTAAAGCTTAGCGTTGTAAGGACACAGGGCACCCAACTCACAGTAATAGCATATGAGAGTGCGAGTCGGAGGCTAAACAGATGCTATCCTATAGGTCTACTACGAAGGATACAAAAAAGATCATCGGGGAACCCCGTGAGTCGATTCTGTCAAGTACCAAAACCCATCCGACTCGGTTCCGACTCGGTTAGCCCACCCAAATGATCACTCAAATGATCACACGTGACGCTCCAGCTACCCAGAATCTACTCCCTAGAATGAGAGACGAGAAGGCATCCTTACAAGCGTCACCATGCTATCACCTAGTGTAATGGTGGGTGCACCAGATGTGAGAATCTAGCCACCCAAGGAAGGGATGAATTTACTAAGACAACACACTGTCTTAGGAAAAAGAGCCAAAGGGTAGTAGCTTAGACTATTCCACAACGCAGCAATCAGGTGTATGATATAGTGGAGTGGTTTAGACAAGTTGTAACAAATGTTGAGTCTGAGAACTCAGGAATAAGTCAGAGGTTAGCACCTCACTGACTTTTCAGAAACAAGGAGTAACAAGATGAATGCTTGGAAGCTTGGAAAAGACGTGGAAGTATGTGATAGTCGATTTACTGTATTGTCTGCTTGCCCTTTCTTAAGGAAAGGGCAATCCTATTTATGCTAAAGGAGTGTAGTTCTCTCATTTTCCAAGACTTTCCATGACTAACCAGGCTTGGTAACTGTAGTCGACGTAAGAGAATCCCATAGAACCATCTCCTAGGTTCCTAGCCTATAGGAAGTGAAAGGAGGTCCAAGGTCAGAGTACCCCTATAGACAGATTATGTCACAACTTAACCAATCTTGTAGGTAACTAAGGAGCGATGACGTCTAATGAATCATAGACGGTTGTAGAAGCTTTTGGAGCTATCGTTCATGTTCCTAGGCCTCTAGTTGATAGAGATATGTCATGTGTAGTATTAGCCCAGTAACTAAGGAGTGATGTCATGTAATGAATCATAGAGGGTTGTAGAGATATGCTATGTGGTAATATCGGCCCAGTAACTAAGGAGCGATGATGTGTAATAAATCATAGATGGTTGTAGCAATCGTTGAGTAGTATTGCTCTTGTTGTTGGTGTGATAAGCCAAAATATGTATAGTGACTTGTAGGTTTGAGGAGAAGATTTCCAAGTTTGCTCTTGAGTTTGATAGCAAACTGAGTTGTAATGGTGGGTGCACCAGATATGAGAATCTAGCCACCCAAGGAAGGGATGAATTTACTAAGACAACATACTGTCTTAGGAAACAGAGCCAAAGGGTTGTAGCTTAGACTATTCCACAACGCAGCAATCAGGTGTATGATGTGGTGAAGTGGTTTAGACAAGTTGCAACAAATGTTGAGTCTGAGAACTCAGGGGTAAGTCAGAGGTTAGCACCTCACTGACTTTTCAAAAACAGAGAATAACAAGATCAATGCTTGGAAGCTTGGAAAAGACGTAGAAGTATGTGCTAGTCGATTTACTGTATTGCCTGCTTGCCCTTTCTTAAGGAAAGGGCAATCCTATTTATGCCAAAGGAGTGTAGTTCTCTCATTTTCCATGACTTTCCATGACTAACCAGGCTTGGTAAATGTATTAGAAATCAAGTGCGACCCACAACTAGCTTGCTAATCATGTAGTGAACGTAAGAGAATCCCATAGAACCATCTCTTGGGTTCCTAGCCTATAGGAAGTGAAAAGGAGGTCCAAGGTCAGAGTACCTATAGATAAATTATGTCATAACTTAACCAATCTTGTGGGTAACTAAGGAGCGATGACGTGTAATGAATCATAGAGGGTTGTAGAAGCTTCTAGAGCTATCGTTCATGTTCCTAGGCCTCTAGTTGGTAGAGATATGCCATGTGGTAGTATTGGCCCACCCCCTTAAGGAGGAGATTTTCTTAATAACTTGTTCAATGAGTGTTCAAATGATATGCCGTGATGTATGTAGCATAAACAGATGTAGTAGAAGAGTTTGCAGCAATCGTTGAGTAGTATTGCTTCTGTTGTTGGTGTGATAAGCCAAGATATGTATGGTGACTTGTAGGTTTGAGGAGGAGATTTCTAAGTTTGCTCTTGAGTTTGATAGCAAACTGAGTGCAACTAATGTCAGTATGACATGAGTGCAACGAATGTCAGTATGACAGTTGGGTACTTACGGTCGCAATTTGAGAGGACGCACTTGCTTCCTCTCATAAGCGAGTGGACGCACTCGCTTCCCCCCACGGTTATAGTCTTTTTGGCTTTGGTAAATGAAAATTATACCCTGTAATTTGACTATAACGAAAATTATACCCTGTTGTGATTAATACGCCACCACGTGATGCTCACTGCCCCCCACTCTAGTCAGCCCTACTGTCGCCATGAAGAGCGACAGCAACCACCTCCCTTACTCCTCCACCCTTTGCTGCCCCTAAACCCCTATACCACCCCCTTAAACCCCTTATCCCCCCGTAAACCCCTATGATGCCTCTATCATGTATGAGGCCTACAGCAGCTCCTAGCGTTATGACCGTCCTGCTCGCCACAGCTCCTACAAGCATTACGAGAACAGTGCTGTACTATGCCATGTACAGTGCCCTCTAGAGGGCTCATATCCTCTTGGTGTAATCTTCGAGTGCCACGGCCCTCACCTACTCTTATCCTTTTCTTCCTTGGCCTACCTCGAGGGACTCGTGTTGCCAGCGCCTAGCAAGGCTTGTTAGTGCAGGGGTGGAGCGTAGAAATGTCGTTGTGAAGGCTTCTTGCCAAACTGCTGTCGACAAAACAGGAGGCAAGAAGGGCTTGAGTGTGAGCTTCTAGCGGAATATGAAGCTCGTAGCATGCCTATAAGGCACACCATTTGCTTGATATCGCTAGTAGGAACATGTTCCTTCAGCCAAACCACAAGGTGGATAATGTAAGGACACAGGGAATACGGCTCTCCGTAGGTGCATATGGGAGTGCGAGTCGGAGGTGATGCTGTATTCTATCCTATAGGTCTACTACGAAGGATACAAAAAAGATAAAGGGGGAGCTTACAGCTTCCTACCCCTTAAATATCCATCTCGGGTCCGACTCTAATCAAGCTTAGCGTACCCTCGGTACTACTTAGTCGGTAATCCGAATCGACCCCGACTCTAACCCCTATGTTGCTGTACTACTATGTTATCTACTGCGCGTCCCCTTAGGGGTCCGAATGCACCCCGTGTAAGGTGGCATCCTTACAGATAAGGCTAGAGGCACCAACCACTCGTGCCTGCGTTAGCGATGACGCCTAAACCTATGTAAGGGTTAATAATACTGTATTTGTAAAGGGGGGGGGGTTACCAGGTTTGTTCTTGCATACTAGCAGCTTTTAGCAACAAGGTTAGCACAAAAGGGGGTGTAGGCAAAGCCTTCGCTAATGGCCTTTGTAGCTGTAGTAAGACGGAAGGCCCTCTTGTCCATTACTCAATGCCATAACGCATCAAGAAGCTAGAGGATTAGGAGCTCCTATAGCCAAGCTGCTGCTTCTAGCTTTGTCTCCTCAAGCCGCGCCATTGCGTAGTCAAAATCTTAGGGCGTTCGAGCCCTCGCTACAGCCTAGAACATTGAGGTAACAGTAGTGTAGCCAACCTTCTTAAATAGCTAAGATGTAGGGGCAACACCACGTAGTTTCCACCACAGGACCAAGGATCCTCTTAGCCTTAAGTAGGCCCTTATCACAGTCTGAAATGACTATGCAAGACTCTGTTGAGACTTGAGGGATTGCCTGTCGAAGATGGAGGAAAGACCACTCCTACAACAAGCGGTTCTCTAACT